TAAGACCAGCTGTGGTCTGGAGACTAAATAATTTTGTTAACTCCTGTCTGCAAAACTTCATCTAGAAAAATTAATATGTTCATGATCAACAAATGATGCATATGTCTCAGACCGCATCCAACACCTTAAGTAATTTGCCTTACTTTGTGGCTTTTTGAGTCTGTTAATCATAGTAATACTGTCAAATGCATTCAAGTCAGTTATGTCAACAGTAATTTCCTGAGTAGAAAACCAGTAAGGACAACAAAAACACTATGTGCCTTTGTCACATGCAAGACCTTTTTCTTTGTTTCCAAAGGAATAAGGTTTATTGCTAAACTGATCTGCCAGTACTTCAGGTTCTTTAATCAAGATGAAGGAAGGTAAAAAAAATCAGGGTTTCCCTTAAGTTGTGTCATTTGCTTCTAGTGTTACACACACAGGATCTGTGAAAAGTATAGTGTGCGTTGGAGAGAAGGACTTATGTGAAAAACTTTCTCTGTGATTAGTGTACCTCTTCCTGGAGTATTTGGTCAGTCACTCTCGGAATGAGAACCCATGTGATGCGGCATTTCAATTAGTCGAGTATGGCAGGTGCAAGAAAAGCCAACAACGGCATAAATCTGTTGGCCAGTGAGGCCCCTTGCAATTGGTGTTCCTCAGAGCTCTTTCTGATTCCACAGACACCAGTAGCTAATACCAAATGCTGTAGTAGCTCACATACATTTTGAGTGGGAAGAGGTAGCACATGTTTTAAGCGCTTTAATCTGTGTGTGTTTTTGTTGCAGTTATGGGTGAAAATAGTTGATGGAGACATTCAAGATTCTACACGTTCAGATCTCTATGAATATATAGTAGATTTCCTTACATTCTGCTCAGACCAGGATCTAGTGTGGAAATACTCTGAATGGATTTTACAAAAAAATGAAGAGGTTTGTGATTGGTGTCCTTTTCAAAGAACATCGATATTTCTTCACAGTGGTGTTTGTTCCATCTCGATAGCTAATTGGGCCATTTGTTCAGAATATTTAATGCCAGTTACATAGCGATGAACAGAAGGAATGTCAGTTTTTCTAAGTCCCTCTGTTAACAAGCATTAGCAATAATGTCCTCTTTTTGTTCTGAAAACCAAGTTTAGATCGTTTTGTACAATGGAAGATACAGGGTGTCTTGTTACTCTTCGTACTAGGCAAGGTAACTTTCAGATCATAAAAAAGTAATAATAAAAAATCATCTAACAGGTTGCTGCTCTTTCTTTTTTTAAATAAAAAATAATAACAAGGTGTATGGGCTAGGCAATGTATAAACCAAAAATTGAGGTAACAGAAGCAGGAGTGAGAAAGAGCGCAGTAAGCACCAAGTAGTGGTGCTGGTGGTGCTGAGTGGGGTTTTGTGTTGTTTGTCTTCCTGAATAACATACTAACTAATCTGATGGTGCTGTTACATAAGCATTTAAAACAAAAACATAATAAAATTGTTGCCACTGAGTTCCTAAATGCAATTAACTCTTCCTAGGTTGGTGTACAGATTTTCACTAAGAGGCCTTTGGAAGAACAGGAGAAAAACATTAATCCAGATGATATCATCAGTTGCCTTACCAAATACCCTAAAGCACGTGTTAAATATCTAGAACATCTAGTATTGGAAAGAAAAATAGAGGTGAGTCCTACAAGAATACTACAAATAGGCATAGGATTTGGCATGCAGACTATGATGAACAACTCGGGGAGGGGAACAAACAGACAAACAAAACCTCCACAAAGTCCAGAAGAAATAAGCATAATTTGAAAGCTTTGGGGTGGACTCAGAGTAGGGAAGGAATGACTTTAGGATTAAAGTAGGTAATGACGAGAGGATATCTGCATTATATTTAACTTTTCAACTCTTGTGGTGGCAAGACAGTTGCTAATCTCCGCTCAGAGTTGTTGGTTTTGGTGGTGTTTTTTTTGTCTCATTCTTGCATACTTTTCTGTTTCACCGATGAGGCTCAAATCCCCATCTGGGAAGGCCATAGTAAAATGGTCAGGCAACTACTAATCCTATTTTGCTGTTGCAGCAATATACTAAAATTGCTATTTTGGTGTTTTACCAATGGGTCTGTTTTGTTCTGTCCTTCTGGAGAGATTTCAGCAATTAATGATAGAATTAATTCATACACTGTAGAATTCCAAACAACTCTAGATGTGTTCACAAGTCATAGGAGACCGTGTATTCTACCCCTGGGTTTTCAAGCACAATTCCATTACATGGATATAAGATGTTTTGAGCACAGAAGTTTAACCCGCAAATAAAGCAAGAAAATGAACACCGAAAGATCTCAGCAGAGCTGATGATGAGTTCGCTAACTTACATTCTTCAACTGCACGTGCTAGACCAATGGTTTTGATCTGTCGCTGTTATAGATACATCAAGGTGGCACCTCTATGGATGAATGTATGAGTTTCTGATGTCTTGAATATTTTCCAACAAACTTTTTGAGTTAAATGTAGATCCTTGTAGAATATTTGTAGTACAACTAATTTAATCTAGTCTGCCTCCTAGTAGAGGCTGGGTTATAAATTGATTTAGCTTTTAGAAAGCACTAGATTATTGTGAATGCTTTAGCGAGAATGTTTCAGACAGTGAAATCATCAACTTGTTTTGATGAATATTGCATAGTGGTAATGCGAAAAGCACTGTGCCTTCAGGTTACTTGTCTGGTGGCTTTCTCAAATGTTATTGCAGAAATAGAAAAGGTCAAATAACATACCTGAATATGAGAAAGAATAAATTAGATCAAAATTACTCATTTTACAGGAAAAATAAAAGGCAAAGGCACGATGGATATCATACCTGTGCTCAAAGGAGAATGATCTGCTTTACTATATCAGCTTTCATTAGGTGAACTTCTGAAAGGAAGTAATTTTTGCACATAAAAAGCTACTTGTAGAACTTGTTTGTTTAAGGTGAAGAGGGATTTAGGAATAAGTTGCTTCATATCTATGTTTTGGGAATATCTCTATTAACGATGTAGAGAATCCTGTAGTATAGGTATATTGTATTTTGTGAGACTTATCTGAATAAGTTGCCTCTCTGCATGAACAAGACTTCCTGAATAATTTGAATTAAATAAATTCACTAAAACACCTTTATATAATTATGTAAATATTCATCACTATTGGTGGAGAGACAGGATTGTCTTTGTAAACTGAGCTTATGTTGTTCTTTTTCATCTATAGAAAGAAAAGTACCATACTCATCTAGCTGTCTTGTACTTGGAGGCAATACTTCAGCTGAAGTCTGTGACCACAGATAATTGTGCAGAAACAACCGAACTGCTGTTTAAACTACGCGATCTTCTTCAGAAATCTGATCTCTATAGAATTCACTTTATTTTGGGTAAGATGCATGCTGGCTGTTATAAACGCTGTATGTCAGTGCCAGCGGGAAACAAAGTCTTCGTAAGGACTAAAAGATCTGAGGTTTCTAGGTGTATTTGGTTGATGGGCTTACCACCTGTACTTCTAACAGACACCAGTTAATTTAGAAAGCATTTTTTATGTGTTTTCTTTGATCTCCCGTAGCTCATGAGCTGCACTGGTATGTTTGCTGCTGCACTGAACACAAGATACCATAAGTAGCTAGAAAAAAATTCTTCATGCAATTATCTTCTTAATTTATAGTCAGTTTATTTTTAACACTGAGCATGTAACTTGTGACAGTCTTCTGCCAATGGAAGACTTAGAAATTTATTTGTTAAGCAGTCTGTTTCTCAGCAAACTGAAGTGAAGCTTTGAGGAAACTCATTACCAAGGACTTGTTTGTTGTTCTGAACCCATTCTCACCCTGAAAGCTAGGGTTCAGGCTAAACAAAAATATGAGCATCTTTTTCGGTGAAAAGTGCAACATGCGTCTCACTGTTGGTATAAGGCAAACAACAGTTGAGCTATTTCTTTTCCTTGGCCAGTGCTTATAAGGGCTAATTTTTAATGTTTCATCCACTGTCCCAGTTGTTGAAACACTGCCACTGAGTTCCTGAGTGCAATTAACTCTTCCTAGACTGGTGTACATATTTTCACTAAGAGACCTTTGGAATAACAGTCCACTGCTATCCACTGTCCTAGTGGATGAAAGGAAAATGACTTTCTTGTACTGAAAAATATGAAATGTTTTTCTGAAATTTAGTGGAAAAAACTGGTGAGTGTGGAAATAAAAATAGCTGACTAGCAACTAAAATAATTTACCAGTGTTTAATGTCCCCTTGCCTTTCCAGTCAGCAGAACATTATATGACAGATAATGTACAAGTGTAACAGTCACTGAGACTCTTGCTCTTTTTCATCTTTCAATTTTTAATCAAATTTTTAAGGACTGGAGTTACAAGATGGCTTATTCTCTTGAAATCCATGTACTCCAAAACACAGAATTTCCTACATGACAATTCTTACCTTACACGAAGGTAAGATCCATGCCTGTGTGTTTCTCCTTGGTAACCAATATATTTTGGAGGAAAAAGACCTATTTCCATACTTTTCACAGAGGCCTATGCCAAATTTTTGTCACCTTTACAGTAAGCAATTTCTACTTTATCTTGAAATGCCAGATGAACTTGTCATTCCCCCTTCCTGACGCTGACACTTTAAACTGTCAGACTGGATTCACAGCTTGTAGCGTCAGTTTTTTAAAGGGAAGCACTATTTGATCTTTATTGTCTTTTATGGACTTCCAACTATTCTGACATCTTCTATAATATTGGAAGAATCAGAATCACAGAATTGTTGAGGCTGGAAAAGACCTATGAGACCATCAGCCTATGACCCAACACCACCGCATCGGCCAGACCAGGACACTCAGTGCCACATCCAGCCTCTCCTTAAACACCTCCAGGGACGGTGACTGCACCACTTCCCTGGGCAGTGCATCCCAGTGCCTGAGCACCCTCTCCGTGAGGAAGGGCTTCCTGAGATCCAACCTAAACCTTCCCTTCCCTAAACCTTCCCCTTCAGACCATACCTCTCATCCTGTCACTGGTTGCTCAGGAGAAGAGCCCGACCCCCACCTGACTGCACCCTCCCTTCAGGCAGTTGTAGAGAGTGATCAGGTCCCCCCTGAGTCTCCTCTTCTCCAGGCTGAACACCCCCAGCTCCCTCAGCCTCTCCTCACAGGACTTTCCCTCCAGTCCCTTCCCCAGCCTCGTTGCTCTCCTCTGGACCCGCTCCAGCACCTCAAGGTCTTTCTTGCAGTGAGGGGCCCAGACCTGCACACAGGGCTCGAGGGGAGGCCTCACCAGTGCTGAGCACAGGGGTAGAATTACAGCAGAGGTTAAAAATATTGTGGCTTTATCTTACAGTTTATTATACATGGGTGCAGAAAATGTTCAAGACTGACATGCCAGAGTTTAAAAGATGCCAGTGACTATTTTTTTTTACCTGCTATTTAGTGATTTTTTTCCTGTGTTTTGTGGTGTTCTTTTTTAGAAATGTGTTCCTATGCACCTAGACATTCTTCTTTTTATAAACATCTGTCTTCAGAGCTGCTGGCAGCAGGGGTTGAATTCTGTGGGCTTGTTTGCGTTGGCTCTGGGCTGAGCAAGTATTGCTTCATTTCTCATTTGGCAGACAAAATCCAGGGCACAGACCTTCATATGGAAAGTGCGATTTTATACGGGAAGCTAGAAGAACACGAGAAGGCTTTGCACATCCTCGTCCACGAGCTGAAGGACTTCCGTGCTGCTGAAGAATACTGCGTGTGGAACTCTGAGAACAGAGACGTGCAGTACAGGCGGAGGCTTTTCCATCTCCTGCTGTCGGTGTATCTAAACCCGGGCGCTTCGGATCGTGCGCTGGTCGTGGCCGCTGTCGACCTCCTGAATAACCACGCTACGGAGTTTGACGCGGCTCTGGTGTTGCAGGTGGTGCCTGAGAGCTGGTCAGTGCAGCTCCTCTCCCCGTTCCTGGCCGGAGCGGTGAGGCAAAGCATTCACACAAAAAGGATGACTCAGGCTGCGCTTGGCTTGGCACAAGCTGAAAACTTAATTTACAAACACGAGAAGGTAGGTTGTGGGGTGGTGTTTGGTTTGTGGGGTTTTTTTGTTTTTTTTTAAGTAGAGGCACCTTGTAACTTTACAATGTAGTCCTTTGATATATTAATCAGAAGAGGTGTGGAAAAATTATGAGATGGTTATCTTCATATCCTTGGCAGTTTTACTTGCTGCATTCATTAGGGTTTTTTGCCGTGACTGCTAGATTCAAACTTAATTTTATGCTTTCTCTGCAAAACAAAAGGGAAGTTAGGGGCCCCGAAGCAGAAACAGCTTTGAACTTCTGGGCTGAACGAAAGTGAACTTGGGATTTTACAGATTAAACGAGATTCTTGCAGAAGCTTTAAAAAATGTGAGGCAGTGGGGTTTTTTCACTAGAGTTGAGACCTGTCAGAATTTTGAAAGAAGTTTGCCCAGCACTTACTATTAATTGTAGCTTGTTAGTAGCTTTTGTTAGTGGCAGATTCACTGGTGAAGCTTTCTTCTATTCCTAGCTAAATCTGTGTTGCTTGAAGTTACTAGCAGGTTCTTAAATCTCTTTAATTGGAACTAGATAATCCTAGAGATCTTTTCCAACCTTAATGATTCTATGATTCTGTAATTCTTATGACAGTATATCTAGCAGAATGTCTTGAATAAAAATGCATCAGTGCTCAGCTTGCTGTGGAGTTGTCCTGTGACCTTGTTTAGGAAGCTGCATTAGGTTTTCAGTTGCATTAAATATGTGAGTCCTTTTCTTAAACATGCGAAGAAGAAAAAGAAGAGGGAGGAGGGGAAAGCAGTGCTTCAAAGGAAGCTTGAAAACAAGCGAGTACGAATGTGGAACTTGAATTCAAGTTAAATAGTTCAAGCTATCTTTTCTTAGTAACTTATTGTTGACCTGATTTGTCCATTTGGTGCAGCTGAAATTATATGCCTTGTAATTTCCCTTCCTTTCTCACTAGATTCATGATTGGATTTTTTTTTTTTTTCCCTTCTCTTCAGGTTAAACAAAAAGGAACCCCAATTCTTCTTTCGGACAAAAAGGTCTGTCAAGTGTGCCAAAATCCTTTCTGTGAGCCTGTGTTTGTAAGGTACCCAAATGGGGGCATGGTCCACACACACTGTGCTGCAAACAGACATCTGAATTCAAATGTGACTCATCACTCTTCCAGCTCCAGCAATCAGACTTGAAATATGTTCCAGTCCCACACATTCCAGTGACTTGTACCCCCTTGAAAGTGGGCTGGAAAAAAAGAATGAAGTGCAGCTACTTTAGGCATAAATCAAGATGAACAGTCTTTGGGTTATGGGAAGAATTCCAGTAAATACAAAATATCGCCACTTATCTTTTTCATTTCTAATGAATGTAGATAGAAAAGACAACTCACTACCAGAAATGGAGAGGTGCAAATATAGGCTCTTCTGTATATAGTGATAAACAGTTAAAGAAAATGAGCCTTTTCTTCAGAGTAGGGATGAATGTTATGGAGACAAGGCGAACAGTTATTTTAAGAAATGTCACTTTGCACTGAATGTGGTGTTGATAAACTTGTAGAGGTGGACTTGGAATTCTTGGAGCGTTATGTGACAAGACTGGCATCGCACAGATTACCATCAAGGCAAGACATTTGTTGCAGCGTGTCCTCTTTGGGCTGGATTCTCTTCCCCAGGATTACATTACAAACTTGATTTCTGCTCTACAAATCATTGGCTTTTGATGCACTTTTTAATACTTTCCCCCTGCTTCCCTCTCCTCTGCTTTACAGAATTTAAATGTAAGCACTGGTCTGTTAGGTTTCTGCTCCTACAGTTACTGAGTGGAAACCAATAGCCTCAGTCACACAGTTGTGCTTGGAAGAAAGGAAAAAAAAAAGTTGGATTGTTTGGTTAGACTTAAGTCACTTTTATATAGGGGAAGAGACCTTAACTTTAATATTGATTTATTTATTAATATGCAAATACACTGTACATACAGTTGAATAAATTGATCTTGTATCATTCTAGAATTTCTTTGGAGGATAATGATGTAGCTGATACATGAGTGTACAGGTATGCGATACATGTTTGCTCTAACATAACTTAGGTAGGTTGGAACTCCACAAGAATGGGATTTAGTCCTTGTGAGTGGCTTTGTGCCATCAGAATCCCAGAAGGAAAGTGTAATTGAGAAGAAAGCTACAAAAGTGCACTACAGGGGTACTGAATTTGTTCTAGTCTGCTAAACATTGTGTAAACTAATGTTTTTCGCATTAAAAAAAATCACTTTACTTGGCTGCCCTGAAAAGTATTTACATTGCTATTTAAGAAGCAGCTTCCCACAAGAGTTTCAAAAATTGCGGCTTTTAATAAAAGTTTTTTCACAGTCAAAGCATTTCTTTTAATTCTGTAAAGCTCTAATAAATACCAGACTTACTGGCGAGCATGGAATTGAATTGGTACGGCTGCTCCCCATTCCAGGTCAGAGCAGAGACTTTAAGCAAAATGGGATACCTGTGGGCTATCTTCTAGATGCAGGCTCAGCTGAGGGCTCCTGATACGGAAAGGTTGGTTTATGAAACAGCCTTGAAAGTGTCAGGCTGCTTCCAGGAAGGGGCAACCAGACTACAGTCAGGGGGGGAAAAAAATGTCTGTTTCTTTGTCTTTTCTTTGGATCTTTCATGAGTTTGAAATTAGAAAAGTTTAGCTGTTGTGTTGGGTTTAAAAAAAGGAATAAAGAAGGAATTGTGTAGTGCTTTCCAGTAAGATGTGTAATGCATTCAGTGAAAGGCACGTTTAGGAAAGATAAAAGTGAGAACTTCTGACTTAATTTGGACATGATTTATTCCTCTGTGTTGCGCTGGTATAAGCAGATTCTCCTGTATCTTGTATTCATGGTTTTGAAGCATGGTGTGTACACCTGGCAACGATGACATGCAGATTTGGAGTTCCCTGTCCTCAAAATACTTGCCGATAGAGATTTTACAAAGATTTGATAAACCTTTTGCATACAGTCACGTGCAATTCATAAAAAATATTTCCTCTTGCTGCAAGCACCCTCAGTATGCTCTGTATTCTACCTAATAAGGAGGTACTAAAACAAAGACCACTCTTCATTATTAATTCTGGCCACTACATAGTGATGAGCTTAGTCTTGTCAGCTGATGTTGCAGCAGAATAGAGATCATATCGTTCCAGATCACGAGAAAATTCTTAATTGTAATTGCATTAAAAGTTACATGTGTAAAAGAATAAACAATTCATTATTAATGTTCAGGTTTTTTTTCCAGATCTGAGCTTTGGCTAAAATGCAGCAGTAACAGGAATTGTCCATGCAGAACTAATACAGAAATCTGAGTAATGCAAGGTAGCGTATTTGCAATCACACATGACCAAAAGAGTGATTAATCTGAAGTTGAGTGATCTAATTCTTTTAGCCTCCCAGAAAAGTAGACTGAAAAAATACAGACATTTGATGCCTGTTTCTTTGTCAAATTTTATATTAGAACTCATTTGAATGATTTAATGTGATAGTTCAATGGATAACAAAAAGAAAAAACCCCACAAATGGCATGAAGATAAGGTAAAGCCAAGAGCTCAGTAGGTGGAGGATGCTCTTCCAGTGTGCTTGAGCAGTTGGGATAATCCTCGACCAGAGGAGATGGCAGCCTCTTGTATGTGATGTTCTGTCTTCGATCACCAGGAAGTTTATGGAAGGTGTCTGCGATGAAATTCCCTTAGGCAGGACAAGCACAACACCCCTTGGGTAACAGAACTTCACACCGGAGAACCTCAGGTCATTCCTCTTCTTATTTTGATGCTCTCAGGTTGCCTGTTCCCATGTTCTGTACCTGCAGTTCTGGGACAGCACTGCTGCCCTGGTCAGTTCTTGTGGAGCAGCAAGGAGGGGCTGAACGGTGATCTGGGGTTTCACTGCTGACTGGATATACGAAGGGGGAGAAGCAGGCAGGAGGAGTATTTCTTGGAGCATCCTTCCAGTTTGGAAATTAAATGTGTTCTGAGAGTTTAAGCCTGATCCAATCCTCTTCTCTCCGGTTAGGGAATGTGGTGTCTTGGGCTTGCCCATGGAGAGAGGAGATTCTGTCAGGATATTTCTTCTTAATTTAACTCTTGCTCCCCCTGCTCAGTGAGTTTCCTCCAACTTTGTATGTGTGAAAACCAAAACAGTAGCACAGGAGGAGTTTCTTACTTATTTTTTTATTGTGACAGTGTGTGTGTGATTCAGGATATCGTAAATGAGATTAGTCGCTCACACAGATGTGTTAGCAGATATTGAGGCACATTTGTTTAACGTGTTTCTAATTACAGAAATATTGAAGCTCTGACTTTTTTTAGCCATCCTCCATTACAGTCATTGATAACACAAAAGTCACTTGGTAAACCCCTTCCTAATCTTTAATATCTCCATGCTTCCTCACATAAAAATTATCTATTATGTGTACATGTACACATAAGCAGTTTTTTTCCCTCCAAGTCAAAAAAAGAGGAAAAATACTAATGAGAATAAATTGCCCAGAATCTGGCACTCTGCTCAAAGTGAGATTAGTGGCTGTACGTTTACAAGAGAGAATGCAGCTAGATCTTTTCTGTGATTTCAAGGGCTAAGTTACTGCCTTGATAATATTGCAAGAATACTAATCTCAGTGTCTGAAGAATTTAATAAGCGATTGGGTTTTGTTGCACAGAGCTCACCAGAGGTACCCCTGGACGTGATTTCTTCAGGCAGCCCGTGCTGCGGGGGCTCGGGTTACAGTGAGAACTTCTCTCTCCACTCCCCATCTCCAAAACCTTTCCAGCCGTTGTTACCTGATTAATGTCACTCTTCTAGCATTTGATTGATGTGGGTGTAGATCTTGAGAGTTCTCTGTGGACTCCTGAGCACATCTGTCCCTGTTCAGTAAAATGTGACTTTATTGCATCAGCCACATGAAGCACTAGTAATACCAGCTGCAGAAAGGTGGGTGGTAGGGGTGGAGCTACACGTGTGTTGTCCAAGACCCTTATTACATGTTTGAACACACAAGCATTATCCTGGCTCAGGCTGGCTCTTTATACGAGTATCTTTTCTTTGCAGGACTCCTATCCTGAATGACATTAAACAAATATTTAATTTTATACAGTTTTATCAAGAAGTAATGTTTTATTTTACTACTTTTCCCAATTTGCTGCAGTCTTTATTCAGCATAGCTCTAAGTGTTTATTAACATCCTGCTGTTCGTAATAGGCAGCAACTAATACATTTTCATTGTGAGCTCTCCTCCTGTTGCCTATATTTACTAATTAATTTTTTCTCTTGCTGTACAACACTTTGGGGCATATGCCTTGTGAACACTGATAATTAAATGTGCTGCTACTTCTGAAGGGAAAGAAGAAAAGAAGTTAATGACGTTCTGTAATGTCTGATTGATTACAAAACAAGTTCCCCTGCAGTAAAGTTGTTCAGATAGAAATCTGTACTGTTAATGCTTTCTGACTTAATGGTTATGTTGGTGAACATACACAACAGTATGTGGAATGTACAAATGTATAAATATGTTGGTTTTTAATTAAAAAAAATCTTTTAATTATGTTTCTGTCACTCATTCGTTGATATGTAAGCCCTGGGATGTGAATGGCCAAGTGATGGAGGAATTCTTCAGTGGGAAATAGAGGATTGATCTGGGTGCCTTGACAGAGGTGGTCGTGGAGTGTTAATGGAGATAAACAGGTGCTCTTAAAAACTAGTGAATTTTACTTTGGGGTAGGAGTTTTGTTGGGTTTTTTTTTTACTTCTTTCTTGACTGAATCTGGGTTTTTACAGATTCAAGTGAAAGCAGCCACTGCCATTACAGCTCTGGAGGATTTTGAGATCTTGATCTGCCTCTGCGTAGCCAAATCTGCTGAGTGACAGGTGTGGGGACATCGTGGAGCAATATGAACAGAAATACTAACGCGTTTTGAGGGGAAGACCACGGAACGAAGCCAGTGTTGATCTGTGAGTGTAGGCTGGTAATTGAGAGGTGTAAAAGCAGATGCAGAGGCATCTGTGGGACTGGGTAGAAAGTGGGCTTAATCTGCAGCGTCTCTGCTGGGCCACTCTTTAGCAAAAACAAAACTGAGGGGAAATTGAGATGGAAGTGCTCCATAGTATGGTAGTATTTATTTTTATTGCAGCCACAAGCAAAGTCACCACCAGAGCCTAGCCCATGTTCCCA